TATGGAATAGCCCTTTGGTCAGTTTGGATCAACTATTCTGGCTGTGCCCCCTCCCAGTTTCTTGTGTAGCTGGTAGAGCATGGGAAGCTGAAAAGTCCTTGACTAGCATAAGCAATACTTAGCAACAACTAAAAACATCAGCGTGTTATCAACATTCTTCTAAATCCAAAACACAGCACTATGCCTGCTACTAGGAAGAAAATTAACTCTAGCCCAGCCGAAACCAGGACAGTCCTTCAGCAGTTAGAAGCAGAATATTAGAAAGATATTCTTGTCTATTCCCCCAGAACAGAAGTCCACATGGGAATGCTTACAGTATTTTCAAAGGTATGGATGGGACAGGTAAAGTGCCAATTCACAACCCACCACCACAGCCACATACTTAAGTGCTCTAATTATTCTCTTCTACCAACTCAAGGCCATTTCACTAAACCAGTACAAATTTTTGCCCAGACTTTCTCATATTACCCTGTTGGGGGACGAGGGGGGTGCATTAGATAACTACAAACAGGGTTATCCATAAATCATCCTAGTGCAGAAACAATACATCTGCATGGGGATTTCTCCTGTTGGCAAGGAGCTAATATCCTCAGTGCCTGGTTCACAATTAATATGACAGGGACAACAGCAATTCCATACTTCACAGCCATGTTGCTTAGTAGCAAATCCCCCCACTTGCAGTGAAGCTGGAGGCACCAGAATCTCAATGTCTTTGTTCCAAGTTTTAATCCCCAAAGCCGTACTGGCCTGACTAAAAGGAACACTCAGGCTTTGGAAGCCGCTCCCCTCGTTATTACCACTCTTAATACTCTTGCAGAGATTGCTTTTATTTTAAAGCTTGCGCATGTCAGGCACATTTCCTCACTTCTCTTTCAACCTCTGTTACTACCTCACTTAAGTGACCTTGGACAATTAGGCTCATCCTAAAGACAGGGAAACCAAAGAACAAAAGCAATTATCGGAGAGCTGCAAGGTTTCATGCTCCTGAAGTCAAAGACAGAAAACGTATCTCCATAAAGCACTGCTTGCTAATACTAGGGATGGGCGAAACAGCACTTCGCAGTAAGCTCACCTCTTGCCACACTGCAAGTGCCATTATCACAGAGCATCTTTATATAATATTAACACTTCTGCGTCTCAGCCAAGTGAAATGCCACACAAAAGAACCAAAAGCTAAATTTGCTAGCAGGTTAAAAAATGGAAACAATTAAGAGTGTGGAAACCATAGCTTCAAACACATCTTCACTTCATACAGTTAATTATTATTGCTTTGAGCATCCCTGAGGAGAGATCCATGAGCAGCAACAGCTTCTAACAAGCCCATTAAGAGATGTACACAATGCAACAATAAATCTGAAACAGAGTCCTCAATTCCACTGCAAGATCTAAGCATTAAGCTCACCAAACAGCCATTTTTCAGAAGTAAAAACATTACAAGGGCTGTCAACATTTCTGTCTAGTGGTTCACAGGACAAGAGGTACATTCTTAAATATGCCTGAAGACAAGTAATTTATAACTACCATCTGGACTGCCAAATCATAAACAGCACAGGCACAGATCCATGGACAACCTGGAGTGTGCCCCCCGGCCTCCTGCCACCAAGGCTGACAGCTAGAGCTTAACTGAGGTGAATGAAAAAGCATGACACTAAAACTGCTATGAGATTGCTTCATTTCCAAAAACACAGTGGAAAAAAATAAGGTTTAGTGCTGACCTCACTAACAGCAGTGAAAGAGAAAGAGAAGTGAAATGTCTCTCAGGTAAAATCTTTCATTTCTTACATTTACTTTTTCTGTAGCACTTCTGGCTTGCTAGCAAATACTCTTCTCCAGGAAAGCCAAAAGACAGGAAAAGACTTTCCTTCTAAGGACCAACTGATAAATCCATTACAAGACAAATTTATTCAACAAAGACCAGAGGTCAGAAAAAAAGTCATAAGTGTCAAGTAATAGTTCAGTCATATTTTGACAAATCAACAATCCATTCCTAAACACACTGCACAAGAGTGCTTCTCTCCAGAAAAAAAAAAAAGAAAAACCCAAAACATTAATTCACATAGCTTCTAGTAAGCCAGCACTAATTACAAGAAGGGCAAGCCAACAGGGCACACTTTTCCCTTTTTATGCCCTCCGAATAAGAGTAAGGTATGCTTAGAGTCTCCAGGGAAGCCAAGAGACACCATTTGCTTGGCTAACTTGCAAACGTATGTTCAGGCTAAACCACAGCGTGATCCCAGGCACAATCTACATGACTGTATCATAATATGATAAAGCACACCACTAATCAGTCTTCACAAAAAGGATTGAATTCCCATATGCAAGTTATAGTCATTAGAGCAGGTGTGGCTAATCTTCCTGACCCTTCAGGCCCCATATCAAAGTTTACATGTTGAACTCGGCAAGAGAGGCAATTCAAAGGTTGAGGCCAGTTTACCTCCAGGCAAGGGTCATGAGCAATAGATGAAAACTGCTCCCCAGGGTACCCACCACTCTACTGCTAGGGTAAAACGGAGTCACAAGTCCTCAGCAACGGCCAGAGTAGTCTCTGCTGGCTTGCTTCCCCCTCCAGGTGGGATTCTGACCATTCAGCAGTCCTGGGTCACGGACTGCCCCCCTGCACGGGGCACAGGGGAAAGGAGAGGAGAAAGCTTATTCCTCATTTTATGATTTCCCCACTGCCATGACCTCACCTTCTTATATCCCATCCACATTCATAGTGAAATGTGTTACCTCTTTTAAGAGTAAGAGACTTTTGCTTTTCACGGATTTATTTTTCTCCTCCTGACAATAATCTCAGAGCAGATTGGACAGTACATACAGCTAATGAATATGACTGATCAAAAAGGAGTTTCTTCAAGAATGGTTGCTTTGCAAATCTGTCACTATTCAAGAAGTTTCTCAAAATAGTATTACACAGCCAAAACCAGCCTTTCTGTCAAAGATCAGGACTTTCCAGTTTCCTGTTGCCATCTGCTGGTGGAGTTCCAGACTCCACTGTGGTTTTCTAATGTGCATGTAGTATAAACCAGTCCATTATATTTAAGACACTTCTAAAGCTTTTGGCTATGGCCATCACGTGCATACATCTGTTAAGTGACTCCAGTTGTCGGAGATGGGTTAGGACCCAGGCTAGACTCAAGTAGTTTGGAATGTATTGGTTAATGCTCATACTTAATTTGCTCTGCTTAAAAAAGTAACAGTTTCAGCTGTATTTTCTTTTGAAGTAGCTCCCTGAAATCATTAGGGTTTCAAAGAAGGGGAGAGCTGGGCCGGCACAGCTATGTTACACGCACACGAGGTGCACAGATAAGACAGGAGGAAAGGCAATGCTACTTTCTGGGAGGGAAACGGAATTTTGGCGGCAGGCAGAAATGAAACACCCAAAAAAACCAAAAATAAGTCTCCAGGAGTCCAAGGAATACATATAATCAGTGTTGCTTCATCTCAGAGCTTGCTACCACTACTGCTTCACAACAGTTTTAAGATCCCAAAAAACAGTTATCAAAAAGCCACAAACTCAAGGGCAAGAACATATATTGACTGAGAAATCCCACTGAGGTTTCCTTAAAGCAATGGTACCCAACTTCCCAAACACAGCAGAGTGCAAACGGAAACACCCTCTGCACCGAGACGTGCAACAGAAAGCACGGTGCAATCCCCTCCATACGCACGACACATCTGACACATTCCAACTGCATCAGATAATGCCACTGTACCAGTACTTGGGTCACCAAGAGTAACGTAGGTTAAGAATTAGTCCTTTGCCTCCAGAAATGTTAATCCAGCCTACAGACCTCTTCCTGTCCACATGAAGAAAAGGGACACAGGAATGAACCTGATTAACTGGCCAGATACAGTTGTACATAAGGCTCCCTCATGATGGGGAGGATATTCAGGAGGGATTGTGCTAGGTACTGAATCAATAGCATAGAAGAACAGAATTAGCTCTCAGAATCAGGAAAAAAGGCAAATATTTCAATCATTTTACTAGCAGACACAAGAGTGGAACTGGTAAAATTTTAACCCATGCTGTATCCAACACAGGGGATGGGAGCAAGAACAGGGATCTGAAGTGACAGAGATGGAGATGAGAAAACATCAGGAAGGCAGTAACACGCCTAGCTTTCAGAAGTGTAGAGATTTAATACTTTAACTCTTGGAATATAATGAAGTACCTCAAATTCTTCCCAGAAGCCTTGCTTGACTTTATCTGTAGTCTCTGCTAGCTTGCTTAGCTCTCGCACTCTGCTTTCAATCTCTGCAGCATTAATACGGGTAGTATTCAGAGGCTAAGAAAGACACAAATATTAAACAAAGGTATAACAAATGACAACTGTGAGAAGACAGTTAAAACACAAATCCCCTACACTAAGTGTATTTTATATAGGCAATTCTAGGATCCAGACATCTATTTGGACTTCAAAACTTTACAATTCATACAATAAAAGACAGTGAGAGTCGAGAGGAAGGGGGCAGGGAACAATTGCTTTTAGATAAAGTCTCACGGTTGTTCTTCAATACATTAAGCTGTCTCATTTCTGGATTAGTCCTGCAATCCCTATGGACCATGACTAAACCAAGAGAAGTTCTGCATGCATCAGAGACACAAGAGTCTATCCTTCACAGGCATATAAAAAATTGTTCCCATTTAAATGACTGACTTTGTCATTAGTTTCAAAGTTGAATTCTTCATTTTTGCGTTAGGAACGAAAAAATATGGTGTCTCACAGAACACATGGAAAAGCCTGCACTTCAACAATATATGCTGAAGGTAACAAAGCTTAGTGGTGTCTTCTCCATTCACTCACCTGCTTGAGTTGCAATACTGTGCCCAAAGTTTCTACCATAGGGTTCTTCTTGTAATGTTCCACTAGATCTGTCAGAGAGTCAAATTTCTCCCCTCCACCAACATCGTATTTTAGTTCCTTGAAAGACAGATGTTCGTCAAAATAAATGCACTTGATATGATGAAGTCTACTCTAGTATCATCTTTAGGCTATGCAACATATGAGAAATTCTCTTTAAAACCATATGTAGCAGAATCTAGTAAAATCCTTCTGCTAAGGGATGGTAGAACCTCAATAAAAAGAAACACAAACACACCTACACTCTATGGAGGACATTATCCTTTTTGTCATCTAATTGAAAATCATTTTATCTGCCTTTTTAGGAGAGCCAATTCCTTCTGAACTGAGGTTCAGTCAGGTCAAGCAGGCTACCTGAGCTACATGATCGGAATCCACGAGATAGCATTGGAAATCAATTCAAATTCCTGGAAGAGTATCATTGGGTCCTGAAAGGCTGGTATTGACTGCCACCATTAAGGAAGCAATGCTAAGTTATTTTCCTCAGTGTCATAAATGCTACTAGTAATTAACTGCAAATTAAAGAGGTTTTCTCAAAAAAAGAAAATTCTGGTAGTTTAGCTTTTACAGTCTTGGTAGACAATTGCTATCTCCAAACTATCTCTGTTACTGCATTTTAGTTGTTTTTAAACAATTAAGATGCTCTACTGTCTTTTAGGATAACAGAAGAAGAAGAAAATGACAAAATCTGTGATTTTTTTTTTTTTTAAGCAGAAACTCATGGGCATATATGAAAACACCAAAAGACTATAATTTAATAATATTTCAGTGAAGAACTACCCTATATTAAATTCAAGCTTTAGATTTAAAACTGTTCCTTAGATTCAATACTCAAAATTTTCACAGAATGTTGATCATCTATCAGGTGCAACTTTATAAACTGACAGGAGAAACAGATGTACTCAGATGGATCTCTATTTGTCCAATTACTCGTATTTTTTATATAATTTATCCAGGAGACTGCAACTCGCGTAAGAAGATTCATGAGCACGAAAGGCTCCCTCAGCAGAGGATTTGAGACAGACTTCTGATGCAATCAAAAGCAAATCTATTAGAAGGTACTTGACAGCATAGTATAGTATGACATGATTCAGTCAGGCAAGCAGTCAAAAAAAATAAAACACTAATAGAATTTTGATGCTATCAAATTAGTCAATTTGATCAAACAGATGATATATAGCACACAGAGTACCACAGGGAAAGGGGAAATGTATTCAGCTCTCTGCAGTAAAGTGCAAGATGGTCCTCCTGTTAGAATAAACCCACTGCCCATGGACGTAGCCTTGTTAAAGAAGCTCGTGCTTCATCATACCTGGCAGTGAATCATGACATGTGTCACTTTAGATTTCCCATCATTACTCTCTCCTTTATCATCTCCTGTCCGGACAGAAAGAACAAAGTCCCCAGGGTGGCTTTGACTCTCACGCACAAGAAAGCTTCCATGTTTTCCTTTTTCTGTTAATAGTTTTTCAGCTTCTCTTCCAGAGAGATGCCCATGAAACCACCTTTAAATAAAGTAAGATATAGACAGGTACCCTACTTGTCATTCCGGCCAGGTTGAATCTGCTTGTTCTAAATATTTATAACAAAGTAAAACGCTTATGTACACTGGACAACAATGTCCAGGTCTACAGAACACCTCAGTTTTATATAAAAATAAAAAACAAAATAAGCCTTGGAAGCGTACATGTACATACACACGAGTGATTACAGAAACGCTTCAAAGGGAGCACTTCCATAAGCACTGAAATTTGCATTTCACACAAGCTTCAAATGAAGCTTTGATTTGGATCCTTCACAACAGTCCAAATGGATTCCCTGGTGTCCAATAAACACAAGCTTACACTGCAACCTTTTCCGCTGTCAAGGCATTTATTCTTCTTTTATTTCCTTCATGAGGATGCACTTTCCTGATAAACCTGTGGGAACTTAGCATCTTTGAGACCTTACCCTTTCATCACATTAGGAACTGGATAGGATAATCGCATCAATCTCATTTCTTTGAGAAGTACGCCCAAAAAGGCAATAATCTTCCCCACTACTGTTACATACAAGCCATTCCAAGGAGTGGGAGAAATTGTTTTAATATTTTTCCTTGTTTTTTCACTTCTGAGAATAAACTGTTATCTACTGGCCATAGAGGTTTATTTCTGACATACACATACTTCTTCAGTATATGTCAAGTCTAAAGTCCCAGATTCTCCTTATTAGCCATGCTCCTAAAAACATGAGTTTGAGCAATTTAAGGATTTGCATGTCATTCACTTTCTTACACATAGGCCCACTGCTGGAAAAATTGTGTAAAGTTATGCCCAGAAATATACCTGGGAATTCCTTGCAGTAGTAACAGCTTCAGGAAGCTTTAGGAGAACTTCTATAATAAACTATTCCTCCAGCATAAATAAAGGGAACTATGCCCTCTTTTTTAGTATTGTATCACACCAGGAAGAATGCTGAAGAAAATAGGTTCTGGGGCTTAGATTGTTTTACCTTTAATCATGATTTTTAGTCTACTTTGCAAGTAACCTCACTGAAATCAGTGGGACCACTTCTATTACAAGGTAGTGGCCACCCTTTCATCAAATGGAAGCCGACTGTAGTGTTAATAGGGATAAAACATGCATTTATTAAGAAGTGCATGGACACTGAGGTTTTCACCACTATTTCTCTGACCTTTCAGATGTAGGATCAGCACAGTTCAGTGGATATTTCAACTCTATAACATCTCCATTCTTTTCCTTGAGCTGTCCATGATGTTCCATATAATACTGGACTAACTCAGCCAACGTAGCAAACTTCTCTCCTCCATAGAGGTCATAGTAGTCTCCTGTGTTCTGGATCTTGATGTGGGTGACAGCTCCAGTTCGTCTAATATTTGAAAGAAAGGGAAAAAAAAACCCAACACCCACACACAAGTCAGCTGACTTCAATCAATCACTTTCATATTTCGTGTTCTGTTGCGTGAGTTGGAGAAATCCATACTTACGTTTGCATCACTTTCCAAGCAAAATATTGCAGAACAGCTAAGCTAGTGCACCTCTGAAGTGTGCTTCAGCCACATTTCAGTGGCTTGCAAGAAGGGGAAGTGGCTGTCCAACACTCAGGAGGAATAGGAAAAAAACCTTAATTCCATAACAAAGGAATCCTTGAAGCCCGCATAAGCTCTGTGGCCTCACAATCTCCAGCAAAAATCCCTCAGACCCCCTAGAATTGCACACACGTGCACAAGGGGTGGAAGGGTGAGAAGAATTTAGCATTCTCAAGACACTCGTTAGAGCTTGTTTGCTCCTTTCCCCAGAATTTCACACTAACTGCTAAGATCTTTCCTTCAGTGTAAACAGTTGCTTTTGCCTGATGCAAGTCATTTGCTCCCACAGTCTCCAGTATTAATGAAGAACAGCTCTCTGAAAGAGCCCCCTTCTGTTCAACAAGGCCCATTATCTCAAAGGTATCCAAGCAGCATTATTCTTATCACCAATCCCACTTTTCCCTTTTCCTTTATCTACTTCCTCTTGCCCTCCTTTCCCCATCCCTGCCACTATACACACAGTGTCAGGGGACAAGTGTTACAAAAGGCCTGTTTTGGAAGCTGAAATAGCACTGCAGTTGCCCTTAAAAACTTGCTGACTTTTCCTGTAAGAGGAGAATCTGGATAGCATTTTCTTGCATGTCCTTGATCAGTAATTCATATCATCTCTGCTACTTTCAGATGGTTGTCATATAGATTTTTAAAGGGCTAAAAGTAATGCTATTATGAATCTAATTCTGCTTAACTTTTTCTGTCTCTCTGCAGAATCGGAATGCACCACCCTCCAATCTATAGTTTCCCCAAGCTGGGTAAGAGTATTTGAGAACCTCTTCAGGGAAAATGGGAGTGGAGGCCTGGGGGGGAGAAGGGGGGAAAAAAAAGTGAACAACAGGCTAAAAAGTGATCCATCCATTGTTTCATTTCTTACAAGCAGTTCATTTACAACTCTTGCCCCATAGAACAGCACCAAATGCAGACTCTTACCAATTTGGGGAGAAAGACAAAAAAAAAATCTCAACTTACCTAACGGAGAGTGTAAAGTCTCCTGGGTTACTTTTGCTGGGCCGTGCCAAAAAACTGCCATCAACTCCTCTTGTTAACAGTAGGTTTTCTGCCTCCACCCCAGTGATATTTGGATGAAACCATCTATAAATGGTTAAAAATAAAGAGCGTTAAGAAATAAATAGAAGATCTTCTGGTTTTCAGAGTTAACTTACATGATAACACTAAACAGAACAATCCAACAGCTTCAAAACCAGGAAGTACTGAATTTTGTTCCTAAATTAATAAGAATATCTATCTTAGCAGAAAGTATAAATTGTTCCTTTCATATTACATTGCAATTTTACATATTGGTAAGAGATGTTTTGTAAGCGAAAGAGATATACCTATACATGACTGCTTGGATTAAAATGGTATCAAAGAAAGGTCTACAATATAAAGAGAGACCACAAGTCATGCATTTTCTTTACTCCTGGAAGACAGGACACACAAAGAAACTGAAATACAATCAGGAAAAGTACTTAAAAATAAAACAAAACATCCAAAGTGACACTTGACAACAGTTTAAAGGTTAAAAATTTAACAAAACCTCATGCTTTAGGGCACAGGCTGACCACCAGCTGATAGGGGTCAGGAAGGAACTTCACTTGTGGACAACCTATTCGGTTGCCCAGTCTTCTTCCACCTTCCTCAAGAGAACGTGGTGCTGACTGCTGCCAGACACAAGAGCACCGCTCTGTCTTCTACCTACCATAGCAATTTCTCTGGTCCGAATGTATCCCACTTAAATACAAGCACCGAGGAATCTCATATTGATATTCACCACCCACAAACAGCTTTCTGAATGACTAATATAGTGCCCTGCCAAAGGAGAGCTGTATATGGTCTATATCTAAGAAGCTCAGTGTCCCCACCTATGGCATTAGCTTTTGAGAGACTTATTCTTAGCCTTTCAGTTAACACATCTGCGTTTTCTCTTATCTATAATTCAGGCTTTTTATTGCACTCTTGCAGTACTAAACTACATCTGTGTGTTCTGGATAAAGGAGTTTTTGATGAGGCATGGTTTTAGAAGACAAACTTAAAAAAAAAAAAAACAAACCAAACCACCACACAGCCCAGGGACAGAGATGTGAACACAGCAACTAAGAACTGTTTTAGTGGCTTTGTCAGACCTGTATTTGGCAATAAGATCGCCTTTATTTTTCAGAGTTGCCATAAATCAGACACTACGCAGGGCACAAGTGAAAAAGCACATCCATATCTGCAGAAAGAACACAGACTACTCCTCTTCGTACATGAGGTTCTTAAGTTTCTCCAACGTAAAGCAAAACATTGAGGCAATAGACTCTGCAACCAATCTCACTACAGATACAAGAGTGCTAAATCTAAAAAAAATTGCCTAGCATTTCTGATCGTTCCTCATACAGTCAGCATTTCATGCTAAATTGCTAAAACAGCAAAACACGTGAGTGCATGTCTAAATTTAGGGTTATTACTTGAATTGTTTCAGCAATTCCTTCTATACTGAAAAATTGACAATATTTCTACCAAGGCCTTATCCAGCCTATTCTCTTCAGGCACAGATTCTCATGGAAACATTCTGGAGAGTTTCAGAGATTCTAGAATATCCAAACCTTTAGCAAGTCATTCAACCAGGAATCAGGATTACTTATGTACCAATTCAAGTTCAGAAGTAAATTATTCTTCTTGGTAATTTTGCTTTTTTTGTAGTTAAGGATATTCTGCTTGCACCAAGGAAGTCTAGTGACTAGTACCATAATTTTAACTAAAGAACAACAACAACAAAAAAATCAAGCCTATGCAGCACGGGTCATGAAAAAAATATATTAAAAAATACTTCCAAGTTATTACAGCAAATAGGAATGAATTAATAAGTAATGCTACATTTATCTAATGACCACTCAAAAGTCAAGAAAAGTTCTGTTTTGACACAGTCTCACAAAAGAAACTGCACAAGCATCGGCACTTGGGATGAACTGAACATCAAATAATATATTTCAGAATACGACAGGTTGGTCTGCAGAAGCTGATAATATATTTACCACACTTCCACTTACAAAATTTTACTTCCATTAGGAGAAAACAAAAAACAAACAAACAAAAAGGGCAGCAACATTTTGAACAGTTTATAAGCTTTTTCAATACGCACCAGATTCAAGAGACATCTTTGCAAGTTTTTGAGTTTATATCCAAAAATGTATAAACATACAAAGGAGAAATTACTGGAATCAGCCCTACAGATTTATTATATGGTGACATTCCATAAACTCTAATTAATATATCTTCTGTATCTTACCCTAACCCCTAATGCATCTGGAAGTAGCTGTACACGAGTTGTTAAGAAGATGTAAAATAACAGAAAAATAGTAATTTAATGAACAGACGGGCCTACAAATAACTTGTTCTTAAAGGAGAGGTTGCAAAGATGATAGATTTTTTAAAAACAAAAATCTCACCCCCACATATACATACACTTCTATTGAAGATGGCAAAAAGTAAGTGTGGCAAAAGAAAAAGCTACATCTGGGAGATTGATGGAGTGTATTGCACTTTATGTAACTTTTGTTCTAATGGTAACTTGTACTCCTGCTCTCTCATCTTTGTATTTTTGGCTTTGAGTAGGAAGATGCATTTGTCAGCCACCTCAAATAGAAAAATGGGGGTGTTGGTGATCTCTGTTAAATGGTTCCGGACCGGTGATCAAGATCACTTCATTTGAAGTACTGCCATCACATGTGTGCTTTTGAACCTTGGTGGCTACATCCCTTCCAAAACTGGAGGAGAGGCCAAAGGAGACTGCAGACACAGATACCAGTAACATAAGCCCTATAGAGGACTTTCTCTAACACTTCCTTTTATAGGAATGGAATGCATTTTAGACTTTTTTCTACTTTCCTTCTTCAACCTCTATTATGAGCAGGTGCAGAGGCTATCCCAAGCAAAGGGCATCACAACCAATAAATACAATCAAGAAAGTAACACACACACATGTAAACCCACACTCTAATTAAACTAGCTGTCCTCACTATGCATGGAATACTCCTTACAGCAATTCTGATTTGGGGGGGGGTTCAGCAGCATACCATTCCAAGTCCCTTATTAGTTTACAGCAAGATGAAAACATTGGCAGAAAAGTAACCAGTGAAATAGCAGGGGTCTCATTTACAAAACTAAGGGGATATCAGCTAAGCAAGAAGCTTTTTGATGAAAACTAATACATGGTAGGAAATACAGCCTTGTTACAATTTTTTTTTTTTTTTATTAGCATAGTCCAGAAAAGATCAGCAGGATTTGTGTTTTACAAGTCATATGTTGCCAGCGCATTTCCCTCTTACCAAACTGAAGAGAGAAAATTAAAAAAAAAAAAAATCAATACATTTTTCCATGCTGTGATTGAGCTTTTCTAATCACCTTTTCAAGAGCACGAGAGATTAAATCAGTTCTGAGTCTCAGCTGTCACAACCAGAGCACTAAGGGAGGCGGTGACTGGTAGTTTAATTACTCCTATTTATAGGCTCATCAGTTTACATTTCTCATCTTCTTTCAGTCTCTCTCACAAATTACAATTTAAACTTCTCAGCAGAATAAGTGGATTAATCCTGACAATGAGGAAGTTCACAAGTGTTTCTAAAAGGTAACTTGTGTACTTGCCCTGATGTGTGAGTAGGGACATTCAGAAAACCCAACAACACACTAGAGATTCCTCCACACACCTCAGAAGGCCCCAAATCCAAATTCAACTATAAATGGCCACGGTCTGAAAACCAACCCATCTAGTTTCAACTGTCTTAAGGAGAACAAGAAAGAGGACAACTCAGTGTTGAAGAAGTCATACCTGAATAGATATTACTATCAAATTTCAGAATAGGTGCGTTAGTAATTCCTCTTAAGTCTAGCATTTACCTTAACCTCTCAGCCCAAAAAGGACTGCTAAAATAAGACAAACATCAAAACATGTTAAGGACAGTGAGAAGCTACAACAAAGGAAACAGATTGAACTGTTTATCACCCTGATTTTGCAACACCACAGAGTTTTGTAATTAGACCGAATGATGCTAATAAACTGAGAGCCCAGATCAGGTCAGCTTATGAACACTCACTTTGAAGTTGGCTCACGTTTCGGTTTCAGTAACGTCCCTAGTGCTGGACTACTGACAGCAGCACGACCCTCTCTGGCCTCGGATTCTGGACCGAGAACCGAAAGGGTCGCCACACGAATAAAATTCATCTCTCAGCTCCGGTTCAAACGCACATGCGGGCGCGGGGGACTCGCTTGAACCCCCCCCGCGAAGCCAACGTGACTGTGGCAGCTCTGGCTC